CATGAAAGTATCAGAACTCAGAGTGCACGATGAGAATTCCTCCAACGGCCAAAAGTGGACTGGGCAACCAGAACTTAACCTTGTTCTGTGGAAGGAAATCAGTCATCCTGACAGCATTTTAGGCTTTTCATCTACAAAATCAGGTGTGGAATTGGTACCTTCCATTCATTTGCTTAGTGACATTTTAAAAGATATTTTTTATAAAGAAATGTTACAATATATGAAAAGTTATAGGGAATAATATGATTAAAAAATTAAAGACACCACTCAGCTTTATCACAAAGTTTGTATTTTGCTGTATTTAGTTCAAGTATTTTAAAATTTAAAAAAAACACTGGGATAATGGAAGATCTGGATCTATCCCTCTCCAACCTCATTTCCTCATTCTTACCAAAGGGTCACCCCTGTCCGGAATTTGGTATATGTGTTCATTCCTTTTTTTTTAAAGGATCAAACTTTTCTTTTTTAATGTATTTATTTATTTGGCTGCATTGGGTCTTCATTGCTGCACACGGGCTTTCTCTGGTTGCGGCAAGCGGGGGCTCTTCATTGCGGTAGGTTCTCGCTGCATAGCACTGGTTCTAGGCGCGCGGGCTTCAGTAGCTGTGGCTCGCAGGCTCTAGAGCGTAGGCTCATTAGTTATGGCACACGGGCTTAGTTGCTCTGCGGCATGTGGGATCTTCCCGGACCAGGGCTCAAACCCATGTCCCCTGCACTGGCAAGCAGATTCTTAACCGCTGTGCCACCAGGGAAGTCCTATGTGTTCATTCTTTCAGCAGATATTTATTGAGCATCTAATACATTCCAGACCCACATATAGGAGCTAGTGTTGGACAAGAATGTCCTCATGAGCTTACTTTCCAATGAGGGAGGCTGACAAACTGGATTCATGAATGGTGGTTTGCACACTTTTGGTCTTTGTGTAAATGGTATGATACTATTATATTCTTTTTTTTCTTTTTAAGTTTATTTATTTATTTTTTGACTGTACCTCACGACATGTAGGATCTTAGTTTCCTGACCAGGGGTCGAACCCGTGCCCCCTGCAGTGGAAGCACAGAGTTTTAACCACTGGACCACTAGGCAAAGTCCCTATTATATCCTTTTTTTAACTTGCTTTGTTCATTCAGCATTCATCCAAGTTGATGAATCCAGCTTCAATTCACTCATTTTTAACTGCTGTATAGCAGTCCATCAGTTGTGGATTTTTAAAATTATTTTATTTATTTTATGTTTGGCTGCGTTGGGTCTTCGTTGCTACGCGTGGGCTTTCTCTAGTTGCGGCGAGCAGGGGTTACTCTTCGTTGCGGTGTGAGGCCTTCTCATTGCGGTAGCTTCTCTTGTTGCGGAGCATGGGCACTAGGCGCCTGGGCTTCAGTAGTTGTGGCATACGGGTGCAGTAGTTGTGGCTTGTGGGCTCTCGAGCACGGGCTCAGTAGTTGTGGCGCATGGGCTTAGTTGCTCCGTGGCATGAGGGATCATCCCTGACCAAGGATCTCACCCGTGTCCCCTGCATTGGCAAGTGGATTCTTTTTTTTTTTTTTTTCACTCAGAATTTTTTAATTACAAGGCTGGACAACTGAAAAATAATTTTCCATTAAAAACAGTTTCAGAGCTAGAAAGTATCAATAATATACTGGCTAACAGGTTATGACTCTAGGGCAGTGACAAGATTAAACAGAAATGGCTTGAATCTTATGGATGCATTAATCTAGATTTGACGTTGGCTCAGAAATCTTTTTACAAATGCAATTTCAAAATTAAATAATCTGTCTTGAGTTTTGTTTTCTTTCCGTGTCCATAAAATGAAGAGCTTTTCCTGATCACCAGTTTTTCATACAACAGACAAGTAAATCTCGTGGCACTAGCCAGACATGTTTACACCTTAGGAACTTCATGGCAAACTGGCCTCTTTCAATAGGCGGACAGCGACCCCTGTCATTTCAAATGAAGCTGTTCATCATCAATCGGTGACGGTCATAGCTTCATTAGCATTCATCGACCTGCAGGATGCTCCTGGTAAGATTGTCAAGTTTTAACCAAGTCATTTTCCAGCAAACCTTCTCCCATACGTTTTGGAACTTTCCTTTGCATCTAGAACCACACGGTAGATCCCAAGTCCTGACGTAAAAGGGCAAGTGGATTCTTAACCGCTGCGCCACCAGAGAAGTCCAGCAGCCCATTAGTTTGCCTCTACTTACTTATTTGTTTGTATGTTCTGTTACTGGACACACAGGTTGTTCTGATATCTCCTAGTTGTAAACAGTGTTGACAGACATCCTTTTTCACGTTTCCTTGTGCACATGTGCAAAATTCCCCCAGGATATACATTCAGAACTGGAATCACAGGATTCAAGGAGTTTTGCTTCTTCAGTTTTACCAGATGTTGCCAAGCTGCTGTGCCCATCAGTTGTCCCAGTTTACACCAGCAGAGAATAAGCGATCAGCCCTTGTTTCCCAGATCTAAATGCCTGTGTTTGTTTTACATGCGTCCTTTTCTTAGCACGCCAGTTAGAATCAACGTCTTGACTGTTATTCCACCTTGGGCCACAGAGCCCACTTTTGAGGACACGGTGTCTGTGTAACCACCTAACCTACTTGGGTGGTGATTTCTTCATTGTGCCTTGGGCAGTGAAAGCGGAAGACACAGCTGAGCTGTTCCTTCGTGTGACCAGCAACACCATCGGGGTGCCCCTGCTGGCCAGCCTTATTGGAGTCTATATGCTCATTTTTGTGTGGGCTCGGAGAAAGGACCAAGCAGATATGCAGAAGGTGATGAGACTTTGATTCCAAAAACTTTGCCACAATGTCTTAAATGTGTGGAACAAGATGAAAAAAGAAACAAAAATCCTTCATCGAAAGAGGCAGGTAGGGGGCTTCCCTGGTGGCGCAGTGGTTGAGAGTCCGCCTGCCGATGCAGGGCACACAGGCTCGTGCCCCGGTCCAGGAAGATCCCATATGCCATAGAGCGGCTGGGCCCGTGAGCCATGGCCGCTGAGCCTGCACGTTTGGAGCCTGTGCTCCGCAACGGGAGAGGCCACAACAGTGAGAGGCCTGCGTACCGCAAAAAAAAAAAAAAAAGAGACAGGTAGGGACTTCCCTGGTGGCACAGTGGTTAAGAACTCGCCTGCCAATGCAGGGGACACGGGTTCGATCCCTGGTCCAGGAAGATCCCACATGCCACAAAGCAACTAAGCCCATGCGCCACAACTACTGAGCCTGCACTCTAGAGCCCATGTGCCACAACTACTGAAGCCCGCGTGCCTAGAGCCTGTGCTCCACAACAAGAGAAGCCACTGCAATGAGAAGCCAGCTCACCACAACTAGAGAAAAGCCCACGTGCAGCAACGAAGACCCAATGCAGCGAAAAATAAACTAAATTTAATTAATTTAAAAAAAAAGAAAAGGCAGGTAGTGTAAGAATTCAAGTGGGGCTTCTCTTAAATTTCTCTTCATATCTTCTGGCTCAAGGCCCAGGGACTTAACTCTTTATCTCCATTTTTTTTCTTTTAGCCAAGGTTGAACCTTCATATGATTCATTTAGGTTGGGAATAAGCCAAAAGAAAACACCCAAAGAACTTAACTATAATCAAATGCAAGTTTATCTCACTTAATACATTGGATATGAAAATTATGTGTAAGTCAAGTTATAATTTAACGGCAATATATAGGAAACCTGTAAGTGATATTTATTTTTTTTTAATTTATTTATTTTTGGCTGCGTTGGGTCCTCGTTGCTGCGCGCAGGCTTCCTCTAGTTGCGGCGAGTGGGGGCTACTCTTCATGGTGGTGTGAGGGCTTCTCATTGTGGTGGCTTCTCTCGTGGCGCAGCACGGGCTCTAGGCGCGCAGGCTTCGGTAGTCGTGGCACGCAGGCTCAGTAGTTGTGGCCCGCGAGCTCCAGAGTGCAGGCTCAGTAGTTGTGGCGAACGGGCTTAGTTGCTCTATAGCATGTGGGATCTTCCGCGATCACGGCTCGAACCTATGTCCCCTGCATTGGCAGGCAGATTCTTAACCACTGCACCACCAGGGAAACCCAGAATCTTTATTTTGAAACAAAAAAAATCCTTTGACAGTTTCTTTCTAATTTCTGTTCTATATCTTTCTTATATTTTCCTACATGTGGAAATTCTAGAATACACAAAATATCTGTTTCTTTATGGCTGTTGGTCTAGAATTACCATTTTTAGTAAATAAAAATACAAGACAGTTAAATTTGAATTAGAAATAGTGAATGCATTTTTAGTATAAGTATGATCCCAAATTGTTCATCATTGGTCTGAAATTCACAGTTAACTGCGTGTCCTGTATGTTATCTGATAACCCTTTCTGGGTGGGTGGGAGGTGGAGATATTTAGAGGTCCAAGACCCGATCAGTTGATTCCGTGAATATTTCATTTTAGAGACATAAACTCTGGACTGTCAGCCCTTATTCCCCCCTTTTGTCACTTAACTTAGGTCTACTTATCTGTACATGTTCTCCCCACACCTCACCCTTTCTTTCCACAGAGCTGCCAAAGCTGCCGCAGTGCGTCCTCCTGTTTCTAGCTGGAGGATGCAGGGGTCTATGCTAAGTGAAGATCTGCTAGTTTTCTCGGTTCTGCTTTTTTCTGCAGGTGAGGGTCACTGTCCTGGCTGATAATGACCCCAGCTCTCAGTTCCACTACCCTATTGAGGTCTCCACGGGCTATCGAAGAAGGGCTGCTACAACAGCTAACGTTAGTGAAATAAATGTTCCTCATTTGTTACTTGGTGTCTTCTGCCATGTGAGGTACAGTCTGACTTGGTAATATCCCTGTGTCCGATTGTCTTTTACAAGGATCCCAGACAGTGATCTTTCCTGGTTCTAAATTGTACACCTGAAGAGCTCTTTCTGCTTGTCTCCGACCCCAAGACTTCATTTAATTGCAGTTTTCTCTGTCCTCATCTTTCTCCTTAGAGATAAACCAAAAGAATCCCGTTATAACTTCCTATACTGTATCTTTCATTGTCACATTTTAGGTGGTTATCACCCTTTATGGATCAGAGGGGCAGAGCGAACCCCATCATCTTGGTGATTCCCAGAAAGCAGTCTTTGAACGAGGGGGACTGGATGTCTTCCTCCTGGGTACTCCGTCTTCTCTGCAGGAATTACACAGCCTGCAGCTCTGGCATGACAGTTCTGGCATCAGCCCTTCTTGGTAAGTACCTGTATCAGGCTGGCATGTTGCTTCTTCTCTGAAGATCTTTAGCATTCTGGGGAAAGACCTGCACGGCTTTACGATAAATAACTATAATGCTTTGGGCCAAATAGTAACAAATGACTGTTAGATTTTAGTTTCAGAGCTGTCTACGCAGAAGAAACCCTGGAAGGAAATATGGAAAATTAACAACACGATTTTTTACAGGTGGTAGAATGATAGATTTTTTTTCCATCAAATGTTGTCATGATGGTGAACAGCAAATAATAATGAAATAGTGCCCGAAAGTACCATAAATTGAAAGTATCTCTAAATATGAAAACTATCTTCAAAGAGTAAATTTAGTAAATGACTGTCTACTGAATATACTTTGGGTCAAAATGAAGAGCTTAAGGAGCGGGGAAGGAACAGAATTACAGTGTGGGATGTGCCTAGAGAGTTAGAGAGACAAGCGGTTAGTGATGAGTGCGTGCACCTGCCCTGTGCTACATCCAGATGATTCTGCATCTTCCTTCGGCAACACTCTAAGAATTAGGAGAGGAGGGTGGAGAAATTATTGAATAGATGATGAAAATTAGTTAAGGTTGAGGATTATTGGCTTGTTGGGATTAGGAAAAAAGAAGGGAATGAAGTCAAAGGTCTCAGGCCGGTATTCAAACAAGTCAGTTGCTGAATATTGGCCACCTGAAAAGAGCATGCTGCTTGCCTAAAAGTGATAGCAAAAGAAGTCCTTCCCTGCTAGGCTAGATGCACCAACCACTAGGCCAGGATAGCCTGATAAACTGCTTGCTTTCTGTTCAGGTATCTACAAAGCGGTTTTTTGCACTATCATTCCACTTTCATTTATAAATAATGTATAATAAGCACTTGAAAGATACTCAGCATCGTTAGTCATCAGGAAATGCAAATTAAAACCACAATGATAGCACTAAACACCCACCAGAATGACTGAAATTAAAAAGTCTAACAAAACCAGGATTTGGTGGGGGGGGCAGTTAGGGCTCTCACCGCTGGTGGGTGTAAAATGGCACAGCTGTGGTGGAGGACAGTTTGACGGTTTCTTGTAAGGTTAAACATACATTGACCCTATGACTCAGAAATTCCACTCCTAGTTTTTTACCCAAGGTCAATGAAGACATATGTCCATTCCGACACACGTTCATAGCAGCCTTATGAATAATGGCCCCAAGCTGGAAACAACACAGATGTCCATCGGGTGAATGAATAAACAAATGTTAGTATGTTCATTCGATGGAATACTTCTCACGACAAAAAAGAGCAATCTGCTGAGACACACAGCAGTGTGGATGAATCTCAGAAAACACGATGCTGAGCAAAAGAAGCCAGACGCAGAAGGAGACATACTGTACGATTCCACATAGATGAAATTCTAAAAAAAGCAAATTACTCTATAGAGACAAAAAGCAGATCAGTGGTCACCTGAAGCCAAGGGTGAGCCTGAGGGGGGCTGACTGGGAAAGGCACAAGGGAACTTTCCAGGGTGATGACGGTGGTGCTTAGGACACAAGTGTATACATTGGTCAAAATGCATTGAATTTTGTACATTTTAAATGGGTGCCTTTATCATGTGTAAACTATACCACAACAAAGTTGATTTTTTTTAAAGTATGTGTATAGGAAGAAGTCTAGTGCTATATACACTAAATTATTACCAATAGTTATTGCTGGGTAGTAGGATTATGAATTTTTAAGTTTTTCTTCAGGGTACTTCTAGGTATTTCCAAACTTCTTAAACAATAAATTTGTATTATTTTATAATTATTGGAAGTACATTTTTTAATTTAAGGAGCTGTTTCTCGTGGGTGGTACCATATAATTCTGTCAAGAGAGTTGTAAACAGGTGCCACGTGGTTGCTTTGTCGTTCTGAGTCCCTAAGTAACTGCAATGGGCAGAACCACACCATCGAGAACCCCTCCCACCACCAATTAACCCATGATATGCATGTAACATGAAGAAGAAATAAACCTTTGGTTTTTTTTTTTAAAAAAGCTATTTCTCTTAGAGGAAACACTTAAAGGAATTCACACCTATATAATATTTTCCGCTTTTCTTACTCTTATCACTGGTTTATATCAATTCTAATTTTATATGTGGTCTTTAATTATAATATTTTTTAACTCAATGACTTTATGCTCCTCAGGGATAGAGATGCTGTCTTATTCATATTTGTATTCTCAAAAGCTCATACAGGGGCTTCCCTGGTGGCGCAGTGGTTGAGAGTCCGCCTGCCGACACAGGTGACACGGGTTCGTGCCCCGGTCCGGGAAGATCCCACATGCCGCGGAACGGCTGGGCCCGTGAGCCATGGCCGCTGAGCCTGCAGGTTCGGAGCCTGTGCTCCGCAACTGGAGAGGCCACAACAGTGAGAGGCCCGGGTACCGCAAAAAAAAAAAAACAAAAACAAAACTCATACAGTGCCAAAATTATAGTAGGACTCAATAAATATTTGTTACAATTGGTAATTGCAGTCAGTATTGTAACAATAAATATTTGTTACAATTAAATTCTCAGTTACCTGTTCACCTCTAGAGCTTCATATCAGCTTGTTATTAAGGCTCTTTTGAAGACTTTCTTTAGTCAACATTTGCTTTTCTTTCTTTAATTGCAAAAGTAATAGCTGTTTGAATGCAAAACTTGGAAAACACAGAAAAGCAAAAGAACTACCCACCCCCAATAAAAAACAGACAGCCAGCATTTTTTCTTAGGAAACGATAATGCTTTCTATATCTTTCTATTGGTCATACTGAATGCATTAACTAGATTTTTCTAACACATATTAGAGTCTCTGTTTCTCTTCTGTATGAAAGAATAAGAGAATAAAAGCACAAAAAGACCCGTGACTAGTTTCTCACCAATCAGAAAATGAGTATTTTCTCCTTTTTTATACTTTGCTCTTAAATGAAAGCTTTAACAGTAGCTAAATTTATCTGTGAATGTGGTTTTCGTTCCACAGGCTGCAGGATTGTAGTTCTTCTTCTGCTGTCTGCTCTCTGGTGGATGTGGCTATCGAAGAGGCTTGTGCAAGTTTCCTGGTGGGAGGGACTGGTGGTGGGTAGAGCTGGCTGTTGCTCTGGTGGGCAGAGCTCAGTAAAACTTTAATCCACTTGTCTGCTGATGGGTGGGGCTGGGTTTCCTCCCTGTTGGTTGTTTGGCCTGAGGCGACCCAACACTGGAGCCTACCCAGCTCTTTGGTGGGGCTAATGGCGGACTCTGGGAGGGCTCACGCCAAGGAGTACTTCCCAGAACTTCTGCTGCCAGTGTCCTTGTCCTCACGGTGAGACACGGCCACCCCCTGACTCTGCAGGAGACTCTCCAACACTAGCAGGTGGGTCTGGTTCAGTCTCCTCTGGGGTCACTGCTCCTTTCCCTCAGTCCTGACGCGCACACTACTTTGTGTGTGCCCTCCAAGAGTGGAGTCTCTCTTTCCCCCAGTCCTGTCAAAGTCCTGCAATTAAATCCCACTAGTTTTCAAAGTCTGATTCTCTAGGAATTTCTCCTCCTGTTGCTGGACCCCCAGGTTGGGAAGCCTGACGTGAGGCTCAGAACCTTCACTCCAGCGGGTGGACTTCTGTGGTATAAGTGTTCTCCAGTCTGTGAGTCACCCACCCAGCAGTTATGGGTTTTGATTTTATTGTTATCGCGCCCCTCCTACCGTCTCACTGTGGCTTCTCCTTTGTCTTTGGGTGTGGGGTATCTTTTTTGGTGAGTTCCAGTGTCTTCCTGTCGATGATTGTTCAGCAGTTGTGATTCCTCGCAAGAGGGAGTGAGCGCACATCCTTCGACTCCGCCATGTAGCAGTAGCTAAGTTTAACTCAAATGCAACTTAGTCACCTGTGATTTTATAAACTGCCTCAGGAAGAGAGTCCCAGAAATATTTTAGCTTTAAAGCAATCTGTACTCCTTGCACAGAAAATAATTTCCAACTAAAATTAAGCAAGACTTTTTTTTTTTTTTTTTTTTGTGGCACGCGGGCCTCTCACTGTGGAGCACAGGCTCCGGACGCGCAGGCTCAGCGGCCATGGCTCACGGGCCTAGCCACTCCACGGCATGTGGGATCTTCCCGCACCGGGACACGAACCCGCATCCCCTGTATTGGCAGGCGTACTCTCAACCACTGCGCCACCAGGGAAGCCCCTAAGCAAGACTTTTGACCAGAGAGATTTGAATGGTTTCATAGAGACTCTTGGGGAAGTAGCATCCTTACAGTAAAGGAGGAGATTAGCTGACTAGGTACAGATGAAGTCAAACAGGCTGAACGACTAAGGGTCCCTGAGGACAAGTTCGTTGATGATTGAAATTAGGGGAGAAGGTAGACACATGGTAAAACACTGTGGTTGGAAAGAGGATGCAACTTCAGGGCCTGTGGCTCTGACGCCAAGACGAAGCCACAGACCCAAATAGGACAAGTCATTAATATAAACATTAAAGACTACTCCCCACCTCACCCCCCAAAGACACCCCCTCAGACCCTGGTAATTAAAGGTAGAGGCAGATAGGATGCTTACAGAGGTGGCAGGGCACTGTCACATGTGGAACAAGAAAACTTACAGAATACAAACTCACACTGAACTATTCCTAGGTTATGGAAGTCTGCATTCTGGTGTTTGGTACATGAACTCCCTTAGAGGTTGGGAAGGAAAAAACGGGATCAACTCTGGCTTCTTTCTTTAATTCTTGCCCCATGATGAAACAGAATCCATTTACTTGGACACTCACTGTCAGTGAAAAATTACTTCTTTTTTAAATTAATTTTTATTGCAGTATAATTGACATACAACTTTATATTAGTTTCAGGTCTACAACATAATAATTCGAGGTTTGTATATATTGTGAAACCACCACCACAAGTCTAGTTAACCGTCACCATACATAGTTAACAGAATTTTGTTTTTCTTGGGCTGAAAGCTCTTAAGATCTACTCTTGTAACAATTTTCAAATATGCAACACAATATTATTAACTATAGTCACCATGCTGTATATTACATCCCCATGACTTGATAATTTTATAACTGGAAGTTTGTACCTTTTGACTCCCTTCCCCTGGTTCACCCAGCCCTCCACCCCCTACCTCTGACAACGACTAATCTGTTCTCTGTATCTATGAGCTCCGTTCTGGTTTTGTTTTTTTTTCTTTAAACCTATTTGATGAACTCTGGTGTGTTGTTTATTTATTTATTTTTGGCTGCACTGGTTCTTAGTTGCAGTATACAGACTTCTTAGTTGCAGCACATGGGATCTAGTTCCCCGACCAAGGATTGAACCTGGGCCCCCTGCATCTTACCCACTGGACCACCAGGGATATCCCTGGTTTTGGTTTTTCGTTTGTGTTTTGCTTTGTTTTTACATTCTACATCTAAGTGAGATCATACAGTATTTATTTGTCTTTCTCTATCTGACTTATTTCACTTAGCATAATGCCCTCTATTCACGTTGTCACAAATGGCGAAATGTCATTCTTTTTTATGGCTGAATGATATTCCATTTGTACACATACCACATTTTCTTTATCCATTCAGCCATCAGTGGACAATTAGGTTGTTTCCCTAAGATTACTTCTTATTACAGCAACTGATTCATGCCCACCTCCCTAACATGATTGTCTTTATTGTACTATAGGTATGTAAGTTGTCACTGACATGGCAGGTAAAAGGAAATGGCATTTCCTGTGCAATTGTTGGCTGGCCATGGACCTTGGAGAGTGTGAGCGTGACTGGAGCTTCATACCGGTCTCAGAGAAGGAGCTCTTTTCCTTTAGGTACTCTTGAGAAATTATGGTGCGCTACATGTCTCTGAGGCTCTGTTCATTTTCTTCACTCCTTTTTCTTTCTGTTCCTCAGACAGGATACTTTCAATTGATCTCTCTTCAAGTCTGCTGATTCTTTCTCCTGCCTGCTCACATCTGCTGCTGAGCCTCTAGTGAACTTTTCATTTCACTTACTGTATTTTTCAGCTGCAGTCTTTTTATTTTTCCAGCTGCAGACTTTCTATTGGGTTCTTTTTAAAAATAATTTCTGTATCTTCATTGATGCTCTCTGTTTAGCAAGACAGCATTCTCATTTACTTTGTTTTAGTTCTTTGATATGATTTCCTTTATAGTTCTTTGAAGATACTTAAAATAGCTGATTTGAAATCTTTAGTAAACCGAGTGTCTTGGCTTCCTCAACAATAATCTATTGACTTGTGTGGTGGGGTGGTGTGAGAGAAAGAGAGATACTTTCTTGTTTCTTTTCATGTCTTGTGATCTTCTGTTGAAAACTGGACATTTTAAATAATAGAATGTGGCAACTCTGAAGATCAGATTTCCTTCCTCTCCCCCAGTATTTGTTGTTCTTAGTGTTTGTTGTTGTCTAGTGTCTGTTTCTAACTAATTCTGTGACATCTGTATTCTTTGTCATGTGTGAAAACTGAAGTTTCTGCTCAGTTAGCTTAGTGGTCAGCTAATAACTAGACAGAGACTTCTTTAAATGCCTGAACCAGTAAGTCTCCCAGTCTTTGCTGAGGGGTTTTGCATGCATGTTGTGCCATGCCTTTAGCACTCAGCAAGGCAACTGACAGCTCTGCCTCAGCCTTCACTTCCTGCTTGCTGAGAGCTTCAGGGTCACCCAGGGGTGAAAGCGTAGGGCCTTCTCAGGTATTTCCCGAGCATGCATACAGCCTTGGGCATGCATGTGGCCTTCTAGATTCCCAGGACTGTGTCAGAGCTTTTCAAAACTCCTGTGGACTTCTCATTGTCCAGCTTTTCCATTTAAGCCTTTTGGTTAGCCTGTCGTTTGCCTCCCGTATCAGGCAGCTGTGAAGGTAAACAGGTCGCCTCTGAATATTTTTGACAGTGCCCTCAGGGAAAAAGCCTTTTTCACTGGATGAGCCTCCAGTCACATCGTATAAGGACAGCCTTGCAAGTGGAGTTTTCCAAGGAACTATCAGACAAATCAAACAATGCCAGTTCTCTGGGGAAGGAAGCTTTTAAGGAGCTCCAACCCCATTCTCCTCCCTCTAGTGACTGCCAGGCTGCTGGTTTTCACTGTGATCAAAGGCTGTTGGTTTTAAGGTTACCATGGAGCTAGAGAAAGGGAGCTGGGAAAATAGGGCAATTTAAAATGCCACAAAATTCACTGCTCTTACTAATATGCAGCCATTTTTCTTGCGTAAACACTCCCAGGTTAATACAAACCTTTGGTTATTTACCTGAGTTCTGAAAATTTTGATTCTGGCTTTTTTGTTTGTTTGTTTGCGGTACCCGGGCCTCACTGTTGTGGCCTCTCCCGTTGCGGAGCACAGGCTCCAGATGCGCAGGCTCAGCGGCCATGGCTCACGGGCCCAGCCGCTCCGCAGCATGTGGGATCTTCCCAGACCGGGGCACGAACCCGCGTCCCCTGGATCGGCAGGCGGACTCTCAACCACTGCGCCACCAGGGAAGCCCTGATTCTGGCTTTTTAAGAGAAGTTTTATCATTGCTTTTATGGAGGAATTTTCAGAGGTCTTTACTCCACCGTTTCCACTGACCCAAATGGATTTAGACAATTTACTACTTATAGCAGTAGTAGCAACCAGAGCAATATTTTGTGTCAGTTCCCAGATTCGACAGGGTGATGTAATGAGAGCCAGGTGTTAGCTGCACGTGCAATGGAGGTGCATCACAAAAGAGGAACCTCAAGGTTAGGAGACTCTGATCTGATATACCAGCTGCCAGAAAACCTGCCTATCCTTCCCTGTAGAATGAGACATTATCTTCATTAGCCTGGAATGTAGAGAAATCTCTCAAGGGGTGCGAAGAGGGCATTTCTATCTTTATGACCCTAGAATGTCTCTGGGGAGTAGGATGTCTCTATCTTTACAATCTGGAAATGCAAATAAGTTGGCTCCAAAGAGAGTTCCTGACTGTCCGTTTTCAGGGCTGTCTGCTTATACAAAGATACTTGAAAAGACAGTCCAGGAGCAAAGTTTTTATTAATGCCTAAATGGGAAGCATTCATAGAGAATTGCCTTCCAACACTGCCTCTGTTCTGTCAGTCTAGCTGTTATTCTTCTAAAGTATGTTGTCCCTTCTCTTTTTAATATTTTCTCTTTATCCTTGATGTTCCAAATTTTACCATAATTCTTTTCACTGTAGATTCACTGTTTATACTGTTTAGTACTCAGAATGTACTTAAAATTTTTTTTGTTGTGGTAAAATACACATAACATAAAATGTAGTGTTGATATACAGAATCATGTCTTAAATTCGCAGAAATTTTCAGATGTCACTTCTGAAAATATTGCTCCTCTGACATTGCTTTACTCTATGTTGGAGCCTCTCAAACTGTCCTCCACGTTTTTAAGCCGCTCTTGCGTGCATATCTTCTTTGTCTCTCTGTGATGTGTTCTGGGTGAATTCTTTCATACTACCTTTGGGTTCACTAATTTTCTCTTTAACCAGGTCCCTTTCTCCTAATTTTTTTGTTTTGAGGACCATATTTTTCAGTGTCAAGAGTTCTAATTTATTCCTGTTTTTCATAATTTTTTATTATTTTAAAGTGAACATTATTCCTTGTATCTTTGAGCAACCTGAAATACTTAAAGTCTTTGTCAGACTGTCCCATGAAATTAATTTCTTCTGGACTGAATTACTGACTGTGTTGGCTGCCTTTCTTAGCATTAGATTTCTTCATGTGTTTAGGAATTTGGGGGTGTAGGTTGGTTTCATTTTTAAATCTCAACCTCTCTCTCTCTTTTTCTCCACACATCCCTGACTCGTACTTTTTTGATGTTTTCATCCAACCCTTCACATCACTAATCTAGAACTAGGTCTTATTATATTATACCATTTTGGAGCTCCTATTCCTCCGTGAAATTAAAGAAACCAGATCTGTTGCACGTCTTGTCATGAGCCAGTGGATGTCTTGGCTCAGTTCCTGGTCGTGGGGCTGTCCACTCTCACCCACCTCCCTACTTATAAATGTGTAGCCCTGTGGCAGTTTTTTGTTCTGCAGAATTCTTCCACGAGCTCCAGCCTCAACCCTGGCTTCAGGCAGTGAAGTTGGCTTTACTCTCCCTTTCCCCACTCCATGAATCACTTTCAGTTCCAGTTACTCTGGGAATCCGACTTTGACCTGTGTATGCCTTCTTCCAGACCTGGAGTGCAGAATCCTGTGGCTTCTTCCCCACCTACCATCTTGTTTCTCATTCCAGTCCTCTTTCTCAGAGACTTTTATTGTGTTTTTAAGCCCAGCCAGTGTTTTGGGTTCTTTCTTTTTATATCCTATTTATAGTTCCTTTTGGAGTAGAGAAGGTGCTCCAAGTGTGAATTTACCAAACTATCTTGAGTGGAAGCTTAACGCAAACTTTCTAAGAGTAAAAGATTGGGCTTCCCTGGTGGTGCAGTGGCTGAGAGTCCGCCTGCCGATGCAGGGGACATGGGTTCGTGCCCCGGTCTGGGAAGATCCCACATGCCGCGGAGCAGCTGGGCCCGTGAGCCATGGCCGCTGAGCCTGTGCGTCCGGAGCCTGTGCTCCACAACGGGAGAGGCCACAATAGTGAGAGGCCCGCGTACCGCAAAAAAAAAAAAAAAAAGAGTAAAAGATTTATCGAAACTCTGATAAAGCTAAAACAAGTTTTGGTTTTAAAATCTCATGCAATAAAATTACCCTTATCTTCAAAAACCTTTTACCCCAAAATAAGAAAAAAATCGTATCATCAAGTCGCCTGAAAGCTTCTTCACAGAGGTGCTGAACAGTGGCCGAGTTGTTGCTGTGCAGCTAGCTGCCAGGCAAACCACATTCTAGACTAGGGCACTTTCAGAATGAAATCTCCTGCCTTTCCTGTTCTAATTTATCTTGTTAGACACCTGTTCTCCTCCATGATTGTAGAAAATCTCACCCAGGATTGTCTGTGGCTCTCAGTCACAAGTTGACATCCCTGGACCCAGTTTACAAGAGTCCAGCGGCTCACCTGCTGCATGACCCTCCTTCTCTGCAACATGGTCACCTATGTCACGTTCTAGAAGATGAACGGCACCACCACCAAGAGACATGCGCACGCTGTGGGTGAGCCCTGATGTGTGCTGTTTGTGGCACGTAGTCCTTTGATTGCTCCACTCTCCTTCCTTCCAAAGTTAGAAACAGAATGAGCATGTGCCTTCATTTTTCCTCTGCTGCCCTCACATTAGAATATACTCATTTAATTCCACTCTTAAAGGAGAATAATCATTTATTCTAACATTACACATTTTCCCACAGATCTCTTTTATTAACACATGATCAGGATCTTTACTGCCATGATAACTTGTTATCCTTAGATAATCATAGTTAAATTGCTAAATAAATGCTTAAACCTGGGAGAGGAACGCCTTGGAGATGATTTTAACTGTTGAGGATGAGGGTTGTACGTCCTGCTTTTCTTTCAGTGCCCATTTGCTGTGACCTGGTCTGAACTGCTCGTCAGCATCCCAACTGCTGTCATCCTTTTCCCCGTCAGTCTTGGGATTGGGTGGCTTTTCCTGTTGATTCAACCACAGGAACCTCTACCTCTCTTTCCTCCCATCCAGGCCTCCTGCCTCTCAGATGCTTCTTTTGAGCCTCTGTCTCTCTCACAGAGATAGATGAGGTAAGCTTGGTATCAAATTTTACAGGTAAACGTCATGCTGCCTCCCCCATGTAGTGGAAGAGGTCAGTAGAAAGGATCTCCTGCAAGGCTCCTGAGGTCCTGTTACACTTAATAGTTTTTCTCTAATTCCTGTCCCCCGAGTCATCACTGTGCCTCTGGTTTTTTTCTCTTCATTATGGAGTGATGTGAGCACTGATGTGTGTGCAGAATGTACTACTCTGGAGGTGTTTTAGTTTTCGACGTTTGATCAAACGGTCTCTTCTTCTTTCATCCTAGATTCTCTCATAAAACTAGTTCTGAAGCTACTGTAAGGTGACTTCTTTCTGAAAAAGGAGAGAAAGTGAAAAACTGAGGTTCTTTACACTAAGCATATGCCCAGAAGAAACAGCCTTCTTACCGTCTGTAATTGCTACCGGTCCTGGGTTTAATGTAAAACTAACTTTTCTCATCTTGGTTCTACTTTCAGGAATTAAAGGAAACTGTGGGATTCCTGCTCAGAAGAAATACGTACCTACTCTGAGTGTGAACAGTCTTCATGGAGTTCTTTCTTACAACATTAACCAGCTGGTGAAGCTCTTATCCAGCCTCGTCTGTTGTTACTTAGAGGGTCAAGGCCGTCACCAGTGGGCAGAACCCTACTGGGCAAATGGTAAAGTTCAGTAAGTTTCCATATCTAATCTTTTATCAGCCTCCCACTCTCTTACTTTCGTATTCATTCTTACCTCTCAGCATAACCAACAGGCATGGTATGACCTTCTGCTTGTTTTAATTTCCTTAAACTTCCAGTATGGAGCTGATAGCTTAGATCCCTCTGATGGCTTCTTAGACAATATATCTGGTCTTACAAAGTAAAGGATTAAGGAAAACCCACAAAAAATGTCCTCTGTCTCAGACCCCCATATTTCATCTACTTTGTCGGGGGCTGTTGAAACTTGTCCTTCTTTTTCTTTGGAATGATGAGATTATGCGATTTATGGATTCTTGAATATAGTTTGGGCCTTCTGAGCACTTAGAGTTTACATGTACTGCAGTTCTGATGAAAAAGTGCAATTAACTTTACAAGTTTTTCGATTCTGTATCAAAGTATAGAATTTTACAAGTTGCTGTGAATTCACCAGCGTGCTCAGAGAAGACAATAATTCTGCAGGTGTTGGGTCCAGTCTCCAGTGACTGGGAAAATTTAACCTCATCATCAGTTAATGAGTTGCTGATTTCTACCAGGAATTACTATTTATTGAAATCTTCCACTTGTCCCAGTGTCAACCTGGAATGTACTTTCAGTGGTTCCTGAAAACCACCATCATTTCCACAGTTACCTGCTCAGAGTTCTGCGGAGGCTTCAATCTCACTTAGGCACACTGGGTCCCGCCCAGGCCCATCAGCCTTGTGACTTCCTAGATGCAGTCAGCCAACTGCAAGAACTCCAGGAACTGCTGGAAATGCATATTCCTCCCACAGAGCAAGGGCCATCCAGGTAATGCATAGCACCAGGCTTTCTTTATCACCTGTAATCTTCCTAAACCTGTCTCTCAGCTGTTGGCTATGAGATTATTCCTTCAACTTCTGTTCCTAAGGGACGCAGCCAGAGCCTTCCCCATCCTGAGCCCAGACGGGAAGCAGCCCATCTCTAATGGCCGGCTCAGATGGTTGACTTACTTCTGCTGGCTCCTTCTGGTGTCACTAGCCTGGCCTCAGCCTTTTTTGCAGCACTTTATAACCTGGAACTGAACAAAGACCAAGCCACCAGCTGGGTTATTTCGGTATTATCATTGCTTCAGAACATCTTCATCACCAGTAAAGGTACGTGAGAAACAGTGACACTGGCATGGGAGGAAACATTGTAGTTGCAGGAAGCTTGGGAAACCGAGATCTGTGGGTGTCAATCCAGGGTGTCTAATGATTCTTACAACTTGACAAAAACAAAAAAACAAAACAGAAATTAGCAGAGTGAAATTTGTTAGGGGTATGTGTGCAGTAGTCACAGAAAAAACTAACTAGAACTGATGGACTAGTAGAAGTTTAGCAAAAAAGGATTGGGAAGTTAAGAGGGACAAGTAAAAAACCAACACTAAACTACGTTAAAAAAAACAAAAAACAGAAAATTTACCTTTTAAAAATCTTCCCTTTCCTGGGCTTCCCTGGTGGCACAGTGGTTAAGAATCTGCCTGCCAATGCAGGGGACACGAGTTCGAGCCCTGGTCCGGGAAGATCCTACATGTCGCGGAGCAACTAAGCCCTGCGCCACAACTACTGAGCCTGTGCTTTAGAGCCCACGAGCCACAACTACTGAGCCCCCGTGCCACAACTACTGAAGCCCACACACCTAGAGCCCGTGCTCCACAACAAGAGAAGCCACAGCAATGAGAAGCCTGCACACCACAATGAAGAGTAGCCCCCACTCACTGCAACTAGAGAAAGCCCATGCACAGCAATGAAGACCCAACACAGTGAAAAATTAAGTAATTATTTAAAAAAGATGGTAAGTTTTTTGTTATGTGTATTTTACTAATTGTTAAAATCCAGTCTGTTCACATTTTCCCAGTTGCCTTATAAGTATTTATAGTTGTTTTGTTCAAATCTAAATAAGGTCCATGTGTTGCAGTGAGTTTGTCTCAAGTATTTTTAATATTTAATCTATAGATTCTCCCTCCTTTTTTCTCTTTCTGTCACTCTCTATTCCTGCTATTTTTCTTACAATATATGTATTGAAGAAACCAAGTTTTTTGTCCTACAGAGTTTCCAACATTCTGGATTTTGGTGACAGGATTTCTTCTGCTTTAAGAACCTACAAGCACACTTGGGGAACTTTTAAAACTCTTGGTGCCCAGGCCTCTCTCCAGACCAATCAAAGTGTAATCCCTAGAGATGGGATCCAAGGCCCAACATGTCAAAAGCTTCCCAGGTGATTCCATTGTGCAGCCCCATTTGAGACCCACTGATCCTGGAAGAGGAACAGAGTACAAGGAGTAGGTAAACCTTAAATAAAAACTGCTGGAAGAGACAAACCAAAAAATAGCAAGAGCTCTTAAGATTCCATTACATCAGACACACAGACAAAGGCTTTTAGGAAATGAAAAACATTTACAGATTTTAAAAATTCAGAAGTTGAATTGAAGATGTCATTATTGGGGACTTCCCTGATGGTCCAGTGGTAAAGAATCTGCCTTCCAATGCAGGGAACATGGGTTCAATCCCTTACTGGGGAACTAAGATCCCACATGCCACGCATGGGGCAACTAAGCCCGCATGCCACAACTACTGAGGCTGCGCACATCAACTAGAGAGCCTGCGTGCTGCAAACTACAGAGCCCATGCACTCTGGATCCCATTGGCCACAACTAGAGAGAGAAAATCTGCACTCCACAGCTAGAGAGAAGCCCAAGGGCCACAACAAAGAGCCTGCGCTGCAATGAAAGATCCCACACGCCTCAACGAAGATCACACATTAAGACCTGATGCAGCCAAAATAATAAGAAAAATATATATATGTATAAAAAAAGATGTCATTATTGAGGCTCAAATTAATGGATCAGGAAGCTCAAACTAAAATGCAAAACATAAGACATGGATATAAAAATATTGAAAGTATAAAGAAAAAGAGACTTAAACAGTAGATCCAGGGGACTTAACATGCAGTTAAGATGAGTGGTAATAATAAAACAGATGAAAAAATTCCACTGTTGCAAAGAAATACTGAATTTGTTGACAGGCCTCAACTAGTTCCAGGCATAGTTAATTTAAAAAGACACATTGAGGGCTTCCATGGTGGCGCAGTGGTTGAGAGTCCGCCTGCCGATGCAGGGGACACGGGTTCGTGCCCCGGGCCAGGAAGATCCCACATACCGCGGAGCAGCTGGGCCCGTGAGCCATGGCCGCTGAGCCTGCGCGTCCAGAGCCTGTGCTCCGCAACGGGAGAGGCCACAACAGTGAGAGGCCCGCGTACCGCAAAAAAAAAAAAAAAGACACACTGAAATGGAGGACAGTAGTTCTGGAACAGGGCCCAAGATTCTGCATTCCTAACAATTTCCTAGGTGATGCTGCTGCTGATCTGTGGGTCACACTTCAAGTAGTATCACTATGAATGCAAACCTAGTTCCTCTGAAAAGTCAATATCACGAGAGGAAAATTAATGGGTGAGCGCTGTTCTAGATCCTTTGAATAAATGAGCCATTTTTAATATGGGTCAGATAGTATACTAGGAAATTATTGATCATTTCCTTAAGTGTGATAATGATATGAAAATAGCCTGATTTTTAGGAGACACATGCTTGAAAACAGGAAGCCCTTGCCTTCCACTGTTTGTTTGTACATGAATTTCATTTACTCTGGTTCAGTTGAATAACACCAGTTTCCCAGCAACACAGTTCAAATCTCAGTTACCAGGACTTCCCTGGTGGTACAGTGGTTAAGAATCCGCCTGCCAGTGCAGGGGACACGGGTTCGATCCCAGTTCGGGAAGATCCCACATGCCACCGAGCAACTAAGCTCTCGTGCCACAACTACTGAGCCTGCACTCTAGGGCCAACAAGCCACAACTACTGAGCCCGCGACCTAGAGCCCGAGCTCTGCAACAAGAGAAGCCACCGCAATGAGAAGACCGCACACCGCAACGAAGAGTAGCCCCTGATCGCGACAACTAGAGAAACCTGCATGCAGCGATGAAGACCCAATGTGGCCAAAAATAAAAATAAAAATAATTAATTAAATGGATAACCAACAAGAACCTACTGTATAGCAAAAAAAAAAAAATCTCAGTTATCATGGTATATAAACTGTGAGTGATTGCATAAAGTACCAACTGCTTCTAGCCCTTTAGCCCATATTACTATTTATTGAAATCTTCTACTTGTCCAAGTGTCAACCTGGAATGTACTTTCAGTGGTTCCTGAAAACCACCATCATTTCCACAGTTACCTGCTCAGAGTTCTGCGGAGGCTTCAATCTCACTTAGGCACACTGGGTCCCGCCCAGGCCCATCAGCCTTGTGACTTCCTAGATGCAGTCAGCCAACTGCAAGAACTCCAGGAACTGCTGGAAATGCATATTCCTCCCACAGAGCAAGGGCCATCCAGGTAATGCATAGCACCAGGCTTTCTTTATCACCTGTAATCTTCCTAAACCTGTCTCTCAGCTGTTGGCCATGAGATTATTCCTTCAACTTCTGTTCCTAAGGGATGCAGCCAGAGCCTTCCCCATCCTGAGCCCAGACGGGAAGCAGCCCATCTCTAATGGCCATAATTCACTACATAAATTAACAGGTGCACATCATGATCAGTGATCAATCGTGTCACTTCTCAAAGTCTGGGTGATTGGTCACCTGTGATCCTGTTTATGTACAGACAGCAAATTGTGTAGTTGTGTTATTTCTTTGTCTCCCAGTCATAAACTCTGTGACATTTACCATGAAATGGATAATTGAAAGAGGACCTTGGCCAACAGAGATGAAAATGCAGCAAATTAACAAAATAACACTGAAAGTGAAATTTGAATAGAATGTAAATGGAGTTATACAAGAAGCCGCTGACCATGGGAAGGTGGCCTGTGTTCAAGAAACTGTAGATACGCAGCCAGGTGAACTTAGTAAAGTCAAACTTACCAACATAAATGTAGAAATTGGTTATGAAGAAAAGGATGATGGTGTCCCAAAGG